GTGACAAAGGTCTTTCATGAAAACAAAAAATTTCCTTTATGTTTCTGACAGTTAAGCGCAAAATTCACTGGAAGATATGACAATAAATATGGCTTGTTGCAAGTAATTACAGTTTCTACAGTAAAGTTTTATCAGTATTTTTTGCGTAAAGTATAGTTTTTTTAGAAGAAATCTTAGAGCCGAAATATACCAAATGTTCAAAAAGGTTTGTCACGACATTCAGAAGCTGATTGTGCAGCTAACGATGATTTTGTTACTCGTAAAATGCATTTGACTACTGCAGCGACGATAAATTTTTGTCAGCTTTACGTTTTTTTGATGCATAACCATCAACTTTATTGGAAGAACATTACTAAACTGGCTCATATTAATAAAATCTACAGAAAATATTTCTTTGAGAGATTTGCAAAAAAAAATTTTTTTTATATTTCTTTCAACTTTAACTTTATTATACACATAGCAAACTGTCTCAGGAAGATTAAAGGTTATAATTGTACCTTAAAGTAGGCGATAGAAATGGTCTTATAACTTAGAAGGCATTGATTTTTGTAAAGCTTGAGTTTAAACTGCAAGTACAGAAGAATAGATCTCTTAATTAGAAATCTATTTACTGTCTTTACTTTAACTAAGCATAACTTGACTACGAATTAACTTTTTGAGCTCATTTTTAAATTTTTTCAATCTCCGTTTAAATTATGCTAAGAAGCATAACTTTAAAGGTTCTAATTCATCAAAAGAAAAAAAAAACTGCGTGGAAAATGGCAACGAGTGGCTTATGTATAAACAAATTAGTGAATAAATAAGCAAATAAACCTGTATATTCGGCCTGTTCCAGATCAGTTTCTCATTTTTTCACTTAGTACTAAAAAATTTTTTAGTATTTATTATTTTTATGAAGTTTGATTTCAGTTTGGAAAAGCCGAAGACAGAATCTGAAAAAGCGAGCTTCTGCTAAGTCATATTCTCTCACTTAAAATTCTAAAATTTTACTCGTTTAAACTTCGAAAAATCTCTGTCTTCTTGCCAAGCGCGCTAATTTTCTCAGGCTAGTATTTTGGTTTAGGTAAAAATTTATTGCTTTTGCAGTGATTTTCTACGTTTGACAGTGGCAGATTAAGCGTCTAACTGCAGAATCTGCTTCTGAAAATATTAGCAAACCGCTGTAAATATGTGTTGTTTTTCATTTGCCAAAGATCTTTGTCGCAAAGTTTTGCTTTATAAAAAAGCTACTTGCTAATTATTATTTTTTATCTACTTTAAATTATTTAGTTGCAAAAAATTCATTCAAATCTCTGTTATGCAACAAACTGAACCAAAAGATTTCATAGCTTTAGAACATAAAAAGAAAATGACAGAAGAAAATGACAAGTTTCAAAGGTAGTCGTGTATAGCAAAAAGGCTGTTTCTACACACTTTAGAACGGTCAAATCATTGCAGCCAGCGTTGCGTTTCAAGGTACTCTTTTTTATTTTCAGTCTGGTATCAAGTTCTTCAGGTTGGTAAAATTGGAAAGAAATCTAAAGTGATGGCTAACAAGTTTATTATATAATATAGAATGGCTTATATATATATTTATATTTATGTATATTCATTTACACGAAAGATTTACATCTTCATACAGTGGGATTTTGAACAACGAATTATAGTCAAATAAAAAATCGTTATAGTTTTTAATTTTTTTTTGCCTAGGAAATGAAAGAATTTGAAAGAACAAAAAATTAGTGAATTATATTATTTTTAGAAAAGATTTCCTATTTTGTTCACAAACGATCATTCTCAATTGCACGTTTTGCAACTTATCTCTTAACTTACGTTTTTAGAATATTTTTAGATTGCCTCTTTGAACAACAGAAGTTAGCATTTTTTCAAGAATTTAAGTAGGTCTTCGAGCTGTCCAATTTGTTGACTACTTCGATGACATATGTTTTAAAAAATGTCTGTACAACTGGTTAGTACAACAATGTTTATCTTGTATTTCTCTTTAAACAAAGTTTAAGATTAAAATTATACGTATCGCAAATGGCTGTTTATGATTTTCTTACAACCAATTTTTACAGTATTTATCTAATAGAAACTAAAGACAGAAATAGGAAATTTATAACTTTTTATTCTATTTTAGCCATCAGAGATGAAATACGCAATCAGCGAACGTTCTGCAAAATTTAACATTCAGAATTTTGCTTCACTTGTATATGCTGAAGTTCCAATTCAGGAGATTGCTGGATTTTCATGGTTACCTTTGAAAATATTCTGCTGCGTCATGCTCAATAGATTCCTATCAAGCTAATTTCATTAGGTTTTTACTAAAGTCTGATTTAGGAAACTAGCAGCACTGACTGAGTGTTCGAGTCAGACTGATTACGAGAAATATTTAAACTTTCGGATAGAGTGTAATGATGGTAGTAAAACGAGCGGTTGGAACTGTTATACACATATAACACTTCGTTTAATGTCTAAGAATGAGATGTGCGGTAGAACGGTAAGTATAAGGCAAAACCGATTCCTGCACGTCATTGCTGCATCCTTTCTCTCAATAAGATAGGGAAATTTGTTGAGCCAAAAGAATTCCTAAAATTTTTCTCTTGCTAAGCTTAGATGTTTTGAAATGTTTAACTAAGCTGTTCTTAAAAGTTAGTAAAAATGACAAGAAAGATTAAAATAGTTGAGATAACTGTTAGGATAAAATCAAAAAATAGAAAAGAAATAGAGGAAACTTTTATCAAATGGTCGCTTATATGTGAGATATTTAATCAATTATCGGCTGATAAGTCTGTTGTAGATCCAAAAAAAATTTAGCATACAAACAAAATAAATCACAAGACTTAAGAATGATTTCGTTTTCTTCTGCTGTCGTTCTAGAAACTCATATTCTTTACAGATTACTTTCATTAACCTTTTGATAGCTGTAATTTGTTTGGTCTTTCAAAAAAAGGTTTTATGATAATTTTTAACTATTTTATTCAATATGTATTATATACTTTCACATTGGCTTGATGACCTTGTTTACCTTTAGTACGACCACGCATTTGATGAAAAATCGACCAGCTGGAGTACTTCAAAATTTATCTCGTGGAGTCAAGTTACAGATCCGAGTAAAGGATATATTTGTAATAACGAAGTCACTGTAGAAGCTAAAATTGAAGTTAGAAACGCCAGCACTTTTAGGTCAGCTCTTTTAAGCCTTTTGTTAAACCTGGTTTTCAGGTTTTTAAAACTTTTTACTAATATACTGAAGAGATGAAAGAGCTAAAAATAATGCAATGAAAAATTCTGTTTTTAGAAAATCGAAAGAATCAATGAGTAATAACGAACTTACTAGTACAGCATTTAAAGTTTGTGTACGTTTGCAGTTAATTTTATTCGCTTTTACAGTTCTGTTGAAATCATTCTTTTCAATAATTCGTTTAAGATTTTGATAACTGTGAAGTATCTATATGAACAGCCTGCATTTAGTCATCAAATGGCGAGTATGTAGTTGGCGAGTGTACTATTGAACTTCCTATTCAAAATTTCGACTCACTGGAGCAGACAGAGTCGTCAGCGGTTTCTTATTTTGCGGGTTTTCCATGGTTTCTTTCAAGAATATTTAACCGCTAGTACAGTTCTTTGTGGTTTATGCTGAATTCTGCTCTTTATTCTTTATTTTACTGCACAGGAGGTTATTAGTGCAACCTCGGCATTCTGTAAGCACTAATACTGGTGACGTAGAGAAGCAGCTAAATGCTCTTGTGGAGTGCAATACGGATGATAAATCAAATTCTTGGAATTGTCATGCTGTCGTACAATTTCGATTATTGCATCAAAATGACAATGCTTTCGATTGCATTACAACGGTATGAATTAACAGAAAATTGCTGTTTTTCGCCCAAACAGTTAACCACTGATTTGTCATAAAACAGTCAAATTAATGCAGTAAACGTGATAGATTAAGCGTTACGAAACAAAAAAAGTTTATAGATTTCTGAGGTTTTCTGTAGTTCATATCTGTTCTGTTTGGCTGAGATAATTTGGTATTAGGAGGACTATGCTGTTTATGAATAATTATTTTTTTTATTTTTATTTTTTTTTTTGAGTTTAGTTAGATAAAATTTTTACCGCCATCTTTCTGTGTGACATTCTGATCCCAAAACAGTTGAGACCAATTGTTTAGTTCTTCACTTAAAACAGTTTTTTGCTGATGCTTCTAATAATCTCGTATAATATTTAGTTAGTGCACAACTTCAATGCAAAGTCACACAACATATCATTTCCAAAATTTATTAAATGGAATGATATATTTAGTAAAGGATATATTCGCGATGGAAAAGCAGTTATTAAAGCTCATATTACAGTTATCCAATCTACTGGTTCTCGGTCAATTTTATACAATCGCCAGAAATAATTGTTATCTGATCTTAACTCTTGTTTTTTTCTTGCATTAACACGTTCCGACTGTAGCTTTCCACTTCTGATAATTTTTTGTTTAATGCTCTCTTTTTTAGAACAAAAAGCGCTAACACAATGTTATTAAGACAAAAGATGAATAAATTCAAATTTTTTGTACCATTTTTGCAAAATAATTCAGGCAAGTCGTCCGAAAAACATCTAGTTTAAATTTGTGAAATATTTGAGGCATTTGACAAGTAAGCCTCTTCTTACTGAGTACACATCCTTCAGAAAATTTTTTAAAAAGTAGGATTTTTGTCTCATTAAATAACTGTATTTTAATTTTTAGAATTCCAACAGCTTCCTGCCGCGACGATTTTATTAAACTGACTATCCCAATTTCAAGAGGTCCAATTGAAGTGATGTCATCAATTCGTTTTATTAGCAATCTTCCATGGTTTCTTTCTTTTCATTTTTGATGCCAAATGTTTTCTCAATTACCGCTTATGTTTTCCTCAGCTTAACTGGATTTCTACTGTACAGGAAACTATCAGCGTGGACTAGTAGTTTTCACAGCCCGAAGCAGCTCAATGTTTGTGTTCACTGTAATACAGAAAGTGAATCAAATCTGTGGGGTTGTAATGCCACTGTAGAGATTAGACTAACATTGCAAGAAGAGAAACCTCGCAGGTTTACTAAACAGGTGTGAATTGAAATCGTATCTGTTATTTATCCTTGAAAACTGCTGTTAGGTTTAATTGTACGAAGTTACTACTATAAAAAAATCAACTATTTTCTGCTTGGTTTTAAATTATTCTTAATCTTCAACTGTCTCAGCAGCCTTGAACAAACTTCAGCAAACGCATAAGTTTAATAAGAGAAATAATACTTTGGATTTTCGCAACCTTGTGGAACTGGTTAAATTTTCTGATGGAAGCGAACAGTATGTTCATGATGAAGAAATCACTGTCGAGGCACGAATTTCTGTTCAAAAAACTGTTGGTGTTAGGTAAATTACTCAAAATTTTATGCAAAAGTGTGAACTGCTTCAATTTAAAAATTTTTTT